CAATTAGTAATGATTGGGAGAAGGGGTTATTAGTTTTTCGCAAAAGCAGGCCCAGCGATTTCGGAGATGCAGAGCTAAATATACAAAAAATGGCAGTTTTTGAAAGAAGTAAACGTCCGATTCAATTGATTCAAAGAACTTTCTGCTTGTCTTAACAAAATAATTGATTTTGGAAAAAAAAATTTTGTATCATTTTTTTTTTTTTTAATTTTTTGTATATCGAAAATAATTCAGATATATTTTTTAATTCTGATTAATGTTCTAATATACTTTAAACAAATAATTTCAACTCTGCAATTCAGTTTATATAATTCTTATAAATATTAGACAATGTTACAATATTTATAATAATCTATTTTAAAACATTTAATATTCCTCGATTATCTCGTTACGGTACGGGAAGTTCCAGCAATTTGCCTCAAGGCACGATGCCACCCACCCCACTAGTTTTCTGAATATATTAACCACTCACGACGTTGTATTTCTCCATTTTCAAAGCCCGTTTGAACAAACTTTCAGAACAAAATCTCGTTTTATCGTTATAAAACATTTCTCGAATTTTTAAATCTGTTACATTATTTTGTTGGTATACCGTTTCTAGTTATAAAATCTCGTGTTTCATCGTTTAAATTCCAGAAAGAAGGATCATCACTCAATTGAATCGTATCGGTTGCTAATAAATTTTCTTTCGCATCTTTTGATAAAAAAAATCGAAGTTGTTCTGCTTGAATTTGTATCTTCTAATAAAGAAGGTTTTGGTTGTGCTTCTGTATTTTGTGCTGAAGTAGCGTTTAATTCCGGCTAAAAACAAAAATATACAACTGACATTATTATATTCATAATTAACTTTCCGTAGGATAGTTTATAGTATTTGGATATATGTTATATATCTGCATGCTTAAATGCCCTCTGAACGTTTTGGCAAAATTTGATTTTTTTTTTTGCAATTACTATAATTTAGCATCCGGTAAGTTACTAAGCTCATTACATCGAAATTGACGTCGATTGACGCAAACTCGAAAAGCTCAAAAATATTAAAAAAATCGTTTTTTTTTTCAAGGTTATTCTTAAAAAAATACTAACAAGTAATCAAAATACTTACAACAGATGAACCTAATGCTTGCTGACCATCACTTACAAATTTTCTTGAACTTGTCACAGTTCTCATAAAATTAGAAACTTTTGGAATTTTATTCAGTAAACACTCTTGTTTTAAAGTTTGAAAGATTTTTTTTTTTTGAAATTCTAACCATTTTTGCGATGCAAGATTTTGAAGATAAATTATTAATCGTTGCGGTAATAAATTAAACTTGAACGACATTTGAGATCATGAATAAACACTTAAAAAGTCTTTCTGGATAGCCACCAAGAGACATGTTATTGTTATACGATGATTACACTCGCCCATTACGACTTACATTCTATTTTATATAAAACAATCTGTAAATTTATAAAAAAAATCAGGATTAATCCTTGAAATAAATTATCGAGACATTTTATCGCGTATAATTTTTTTTTTGACATTCTGAAAAATTTGCCGCCCCCCAAATTTTGCCGCCCTAGGCCCGGGCCTAATCAGCACGATTCCCAACCAATACCTTTCGAACGGTTTTTGAATTTTCAAAATCGATTCAGAAATGCGCGCTAAGACGTGGACGCAAACAACAAAGAAACGGCTTGACCGATTGTCGCGCTAAACTGACAAACGATAGTCCTCATCGAGATGCATCGAATGATTTTTAAATTTTTGAAATCGGTCGAGCCGTTTTCGTGAAAACGACGATTTAATGTGAAAAATCGTTTCACACGCATACACACACAGACACAGACACACCAGTCGCCGGCTGGTAGCAGATGTTCAATATAATTTCGAAAATAAAAAAACACAAAAAAACAAAATGTCTCTTATTATAATTAAGAAAAGTCTAATAAACTTAATTAATACACAACAGGAGGCGTCCTTCTTCCTACTTCCTCCAACCTCTCCTCTTTCTTCGGTCTGCCGCACCTGCGCACTTCCGCACAAACGAAACTTATGAAGTTTCACTTGAAAAATTAAGAACGTAATTTGAAAAAAATATATAGTAAAAGACAAATGGAGTTATTAAAAGTAATTAGTTGAAACAAGATAGTAACTAGTTGTGTATAGTGTTAGAAGTATCGAGGCAAAATATCGATACCGAGTACTGAAAAAAGAATCGAGGCAAATTATCGATTCCAAAAAAGTATCGTGCCAAAGGTATCGATACTACTCAATATCGCTAATATTGAGTACTTTTCACCAAAATTAAACATAAGTGCAAGAGAGATCTAAAATTCTCTACAGATCGAATTCCAATATTATGATAAATTCTATTGCCAGTATTCGATGCGGATTATCGTTTGTCAATTTTGTGCGACGATCAGCCGAGCCGTTTCTTTGTAACTTGGAAAAAAGTGTTAAACTTTTCATTCACATTTAAGCTAATACTACCAAATCGATTTTAAAAAATCAAAAACTATTCGAAAGATATTAGTTGGGAATGATACTGTTTAGCTTTAGTTGAAAATCTACCGAGCCGTTTTCTTGTAATTTTAAGTGTTGAAAAAAAATTAAGCCGATTTTTATGGAACTTTTTTTGGCGATATATATCATAGTCTTATAGAACTTACTGAAAATTTACGGCCTTACGACAAGTAGTTTAATTTTAAAAATTCATCCAAGTTTGAGAAAATGAGTAGTTTTTTTTGACGTTTGTTAAAACTAAAATCAGATGATTTACTTGGTATAACGATATATTACTTGGTCTTAATGAATTTACTAAATCATTAAAGTCCTACGGAAACTGGTTCAATTATAAAAATTGTTGATTTTTGAAAATTTGTTTTTAGAAAATACTCCGAGTTAACGTGTTTTTTCATTTTCAAGGATGTGTAATAAATCCACTCGGAATACTTTTAATCACTCTATAATTAATTTATTTTTTATTAATTAGATCAATTATTTACACATATAGAGAAGTTCATGTATCTTGCCTCAAGACAAAATACCAATACCAACTACTTTAATTAAAAGTTAGAAATATTTAAAAATGTATTATTTTTATTTATTCGAATTTCTCTTTTCTTTGACTATCATAAAAATATTTATGTTCTCATGTGTGAAAATCATGCATGAATAACAAATCATTTTCAAAGTTATTCATATCAACTATTATTTCTTTGTTCTACTAATTAAAAAGTAAAACTAGTGGTGTATGGCATCGTGCCTTAAGACAAATTGCTGGAACTTCCCGTACCGTAATGAAATATTCAAGAAATTTTAAACGTTTTCAATATATTATTACAAATACTGTAACTTTCATTATTTTTGCTATCTTATTGTTATGTCTGAGCAAATCAAATGTAAATCATGAATCAATTTATCTCCAGAACATTGAAAATCGTCATTTCATTTTGATTCAATTTCAAAAAAAAAAGTTAATTTACACAAAATTGAAAAAGTGCTGCCATACAGTCACAGTCTAAACGCATTTGCAAATAATTCTGTGCGACATTTTCACTTATACTGTGCTTAGCTTGGCGACATTTTCACATTTTTCAATAGTTTTTACAAAATTGGAAAAGTGCTCCAGTACATAAACAGTCTAAACGCACTTGGTTAAACATTTGTACCATAGTGGCGCTTAAACTGTGCTTAGCCGGGGTAATTTTTTTAATTTTTAATCCAAGATCACAAAAATATTTTATGGAAAATAAAAAAAATGTATAATTTTTTATCGTCAAGAGCAATTTTTGTCAATACAAGCAGAAAGATTTTTAGATCATTCAAATCGGACGCTTAATTCACTCAGAAATTGTCATTTTTGCACATTTAGCTCTGTATCTGCCTGGGACCTGCCTTTGCCAAAAAGTAATCAGCACATCTCCTTATCAATAAGGATCGAATGCTTTTTAAACCATTCAAATCGGTTCATCCGTGCGCCCGAAAACGTAGACAAAAAAATGCGGACATACAAAACACACACACACACATCCATTCTTTCTGAGGTATGCCGAAATGTTCAGAAACCTTCAAAACGTCGAGAAATGCAAAAAATTCATTTTAGATTTTCGGCCCATTACTATAACTCTCCTACGGGAAGTTAATAAATTTGTTTAGTGCATAAAATTGAACGTTAAATAAATTCAGTCAAAAACTGCTTTAAATCACACTAATTTTGCCGATAATTTTTTTTAATACTCAATATGTCTTTAAGAGACATTTAGTAATTAGATTGCTAGTAGTAAAAATAGATGCTTAAAAGGATACCCAGTAGTAAACCTTTTAGTTATGATATGTCGAGCAAAAATTGACTTTTTATATAAAGTTCGTAAACCGATAAAACCGGTTTTCTGAAAAATTTACATTTCGAAAACCGTTTTTCTGAAATGTCGGTTTTTGTATAAACCCTAATTCTGACCGAATAATTGAGAAAATTATAGGTGTGTCTGTAATCGAAAATTTGACTTGTGTATTTACGTTTACTCAAAATCGTTTGCACCGATTTGAAACATTCAAAAATCTTTAGAATAGTTTTCCTATTGCTTAATTTTGAGTGATGATTTTTTTGAAACTGGTTGTAAATTATCAGTGAAAAATTTCGCCGATGTTTTAGCCAAAAATCCTGAACCGATTTTGAAAATTTGATAAAACTAAACTGCTGATTAGTTTCGGGTAAGCGTCAGCCTGGCCTATTTTTCGTAATTAGTCGTCGGAATATTTTTTATGCAAACGTTTAAAAATTGAAAAAGAAACATGAGCATTATCGCAAATTGATATTATCCATTTATCCAATATAGTAACAAGAACTTGTATACGTTTTGTTATCTTTTGGCGAATGCAATAAAATTGATGTACATAAAGTGGTGTTTATTGCTTTTTTCAATTCTTCCAAGAAATAATATCGAAAGAGCGGCAGATAAAATTTTTATCAGAATTTTTTTTAATTCCTATCTATTTTATAAATATATCTATTGATAGGGCGTAGTGCAACACGCATTTCCATTTATTACTTGAAAGTGACAACGTTAGTGAATTTTAATAGAAGATGGAGGATTCCAAATTGGCTGCTGTTTGCAATGGAACTTATCGTGAGTAATATTATTACTTATTCCGGAGAAGTTTAAATTTTATATTAATTTTCTGAACTGTCTTTTTTTATGAGACTAAATTTGAAAATTTTGTGTTTGTGTCATTTTTTAGACGTTTTCAAAGTATAGTCTCAAACATACAATTAGCAAATTAGATTTTTTGATGAAAACATAGACTTCTACTTTGGGTAGTGTAGAATTATATAGAATACTTTTTTTGTGGTGGAGCAACGAGCGTATTCTACAAACAACTATTATGTATGTCTAGAAAATATTTGTTTATTTTTTCTAATATTATTATTATTATTTTCTAATTTTGTTTTTTTGAAAATCCAAATTGAGAATTTGGAGTTTTTTGTGAACATTCTCTTCTTTTTTGAAAATTTTGATATATTTTTTAATTTTTCAAAATTTTGATTATTTTTTTGAAAATTATAAAAAAATTGCAAATTTGATTTTTTGAAACTTTGAATTTTTTTTTTAATTTTGAATTTTTTTTTTCAAAATTTTGAAAAAAAATTTTGAGAAAAAAGTTATCATTAACTTCCGAAGAGAAGTTTATGTTTTCATCAAAAAATCCGATTCGCTAATTTTATGTTTTCTCGACGTTTCGAGCCATTCTGAACGAATGAGACCAAATTTGGAAAAAGTGTGTGTGTTGTGTGTGTGTGTGTATTGTGAGTGTGTGAGTGAACAGATTTTTTTCCGTAAATCGACGTTTTTTCTCCAAAAAACGGCTGAACCGATTTCAAAAATTTAAAAGCCATTTGATGTATCTCGATGAGGACTATCGTCTCTGAGTTTTGTGCGGCGATCGGCCGGGCCGTTTCTTTGTAAATTGCAGAAAGAAAAATTTTTCGCCCACGTTTTTAGCCCGCATTCTGAATCGATTCTGAAAATTCAAAAACCATTCGATAGATATTGCTTGGGAATCGTGCTGATTAGTAATTTAATTAATAAAATTTTGGTAAAGATCGGCCGAGCCGTTTTCTTGTAATAACGTTTTAGAAAAAAAAATTCGACGTTTTTTAAGTTTTTTTTTTTTGACGGTAAATACCATAGTTTTCTAGGTCATACTAAAATATTACGGCCCTACGACAACTCGTTTAGCTTTAAAAATTCGTCAAAGTTTGCAAAAATTGGTATAGTTTTTTTGACATTTGTCAAAATTAGACTTTTGATCGACGTTTTCTCAAAAGTGCCTGAACCGATTTCAGAAATTTAAGAGCCATTTGATGTATTTCGGTGAGGACTATCGTTTGTCAGTTTTGTGCGACGATCTGCCAAGCCGTTTCTTTGCAATTTGAAAAAAAGTGGTTCAATTTTCGTCCATATTTAAGCTTATCCTACCGAACCGATTTTAAAAAATCAAAAACTGTTCGAAAGATATTAATTGGGAATGATACTGATTAGTTTTAGGTGAAAATCTACCGAGCCGTTTTCTTATAATTAACTGTTGAAAAAAAAATTTAAGCCGATTTTCATGGAACTTTTTTTGGCGATATACACCATGGCCTTATAGAACTTACTGTAATATTACGGCATTGCGACAAGTAGTTTAATTTTAAAAAATCGTCAAACTTTACTAAAATTATTATCGTTTTTTTAAAGTAGGATTGATGAAGTATATTATTTACACATTTTTTTGATTAAGTCGATTATTTACACATATCGGGAAGTTCATGTAACTTGCCTCAAGGCTAAATACCAAACCAACTAGTTTCAAATTACAAAGAAACGGCTCGACAGATCGTCTCACAAAGTTGTCAAACGACAGTCCTCATTGAGATACATCAAATTACATATATAAAATTTCTGGTATCGGTTCAGGCGTTTTTGAGAAAACATCGATCAAAGGTCTAATTTTGATAAATGCCAAAAAACGATAGTAATTTTTGCAAACTTTGAAGAATTTTCAAAATTAAACGATTTGTTGTAGGGCCGTAATATTTTAGTATGATCTACAAGACTATGATATCTACTGTCAAATAAAAAATCATAAAAATCGTCAACTCTTTATTACAAGAAAACGGCCCGGCCGATCTTTACCAAAAACTAATCAGCACGACTCCCAACCAATATCTTTCAAACTTTTCAAAATCGATTCAGAATTGCGGGCCAAAACATGGACGATAAATTTTTCACTTTTCTGCAATTTACAAAGAAACGGTCCGGCCGATCGTCGCACAAAACTCAGAAACGAGATAGTCCTCATGGAGATACATCGATCGGCTTTTAAATTTTTGAAATCGGCCCAGCCGTTTTTGAGAAAACGTCGATTTACGGCAAAAAATCTGTTCACATACACGCACACACACACACACACATACTTTTTCCAAATTTGGTCTCATTCGATTCAGAATGGCTTGAAACGTCGAAAAAACATAAAATTAGCGAATCGGATTTTTTTATGAAAACATAAACTTCTCCTTCGGGAAGTTGATAATACTAATTACTTAGAAAAACTTTGTACACTATTGTTTTTATAACCTATAGAAATAATTAAATTTCTGTTTATTAATTCCTCAGCCTTTTTTGTGGTTCACTTTGATGAGTTGACAATCGGCGAAGTTCAATATAAACGAAAGTTTAAAGAGGTAAGATCTGGTACATTTCGAGGAAAGCCACTCTTGGTAACAACCACAATAGATGGCGTGGAAAGTCAAGAACATGAAAATTTTAAAAGAGAGATAAATTTAAGTAAATCACTGAAACATCCAAATATACAGCAAGTTCTTGCCTGGATCGAAACTCCAAAACATTACATCATTACTGAAAAACTAGACTACATTTTGTTGCATTATTTAAGAGAGAAAGAGAATATTATTATAGACGAAGAACTTTTCCCTACATATTGTCGGCAGATTATTGACGGCATGGAGTATTTAGAAAGCCAGAATATAGTACATCGATCTTTGGCTGCGAAACATATCTTGCTGACCAAAAACGGCGATATAAAAATATGTGGTTTGCGAAAATGAGAGTTCTTCCTGATGGCCAAAATTATATAAAAGAAAAACTCGACAATCCTAAATATCGATGGATGGCTCCGGAATCTATAAGGGACAGTCTATTTTCGAATAAATCTGATGTTTGGTCTTTTGGAATTGTCCTTTATGAAATTTTCTCATTGGGTCAGACTCCGTATGATAGAATCAATGAAGATCATGTACTTGAGCATATAAATAATAACTCGAAACATTTCACCAATTTGATGAGACCCCAAGATGTTAAGAACTTGGTGACTACTGCAGAAATGGAGAAATTCATTGGCTTAATACCAAAATGCTTGAATGTAGATCCAAAGAAAAGACCAACTTTTGCCGAATTGAAGGCCATGATCCAGTAAAAAGAAGAAAACTTATCAATATTATATGTAAAAGATTATCAACACTAATCTATAATCTATCATTATTAATCTATTCTATATATTTCATTATATTCCAGTTTTACTGTATTTACATATTATGTAATGCAACATGTGTTATTATCCTAGCTTGTTAGTTTTTTTTATTCTTCCTGAATCCAACCAAAAAATTCCTTCGAATATTCCTTCTTCATTCAACCTAGTCTATTTCAGAATCTTT